GGAGGAGTTCGACCACTAACACCGTGACACGAGATTTTTATATATTAGATTTTTTTGTATAGGGATACCCTAATCACCAAGTTGCAGTGCTCTGTCGTGATCTCTGCCAGAGGTATGCAGTTTGAAAAATTAGGTTTGTATGGGAGATGGCAAGGGGCTTTTTTCCAATAGCCGCAATTTTTCTTCATGACTATGTGATTGATTTCATTTACATACCTCCATACCATGTTCGAGTACTCTACCATGAACACTTTCAGAGGTATGCAGTATAAAAAATTAGGTTTGTATGGGAAGTGCCACGCCTCCTTTTCCAATAACCACAATTTTTCTCCATGAGTATGCGATTGGTTTGATATATCTCCATACCAAGTTAGAGTACTCTACCATGAACACTTCCAGAGATATGCAGTATGAAAAATTCGGTTTGTATGGGAGGTGCCACGCCCCCTTTTCCAATAACCACAATTTTTCTCCGTGAGTATGCGATTGGTTTGATATATCTCCATACCAAGTTAGAGTACTCTACCATGAACACTTCCAGAGATATGCAGTATGAAAAATTCGGTTTGTATGGGAGGTGCCACGCCCCCTTTTCCAATAACCACAATTTTTCTCCATGAGTATGCGATTGGTTTGATATATCTCCATACGAAGTTAGAGTACTCTACCATGAACACTTCCAGAGATGTGCGGTATGAAAAATTCGGTTTGTATGGGAGGTGCCACGCCCCCTTTTCCAATAACCACAATTTTTCTCCATGAGTATGCGATTGGTTTGATATATCTCCATACCAAGTTAGAGTACTCTACCATGAACACTTCCAGAGATATGCAGTGTGATAAATCAGGTTTGTATGGAAGGTGCCACGCCCCCTTTTCCAATAACCACAATTTTTCTCCATGAGTATGCGATTGGTTTGATATATCTCCATACCAAGTTAGAGTACTCTACCATGAACACTTTCAGAGATATGCAGTATAAAAAATCGGTTTGTATGGGAGGCGCCACGCCCCCTTTTCCAATAACAACAATTTTTCTCCATGAGTATGCGATTGGTTCGATATATCTGCATGCCAAGTTAGAGTACTCTACCATGAAATCTTCCAAAGATATGCAGTATGAAAAATTCGGTTTCTATGGGAGGTGCCAAGCCGCCTTTTTCAATAACCACAATTTTTCTCCATGAGTATGCCATTGGTTTGATATATCCGCATACCAAGTTAGAGTTCTCTACCATGAACACTTCCAGAGATATGCAGTATGAAAAATTCGGTTTCTATGGGAGGTGCCACGCCCCCTTTTCCAATAACCACAATTTTTCTCCATGAGTATGCCATTGGTTTGATATATCTCCATACCAAGTTAGAGTACTCTACCATGAATACTTCCAGAGATATGCAGTATGAAAAATTCGGTTTCTATTGGAGTTGCCACGCCCCCTTTTCCAATAACCACAATTTTTCTCCATGAGTATGCGATTGGTTTGATACATATGCATGCCAAGTTAGAGTACTCTACCATGAACACTTCCAGAGATATGCAGTATGAAAAAATCGGTTTGTATGGGAGGTGCCACGCCCCCTTTTCCAATAACCACAATTTTTCTCCATGTGTATGCGATTGGTTTGATACATATGCATGCCAAGTTAGAGTACTCTACCATGAACACTTCCAGAGATATGAAGTACGAAATATTCGGTTTGTATGGGAAGTGCCACGCCCCCTGCACCTAGCGGTATGAAATGTACTTTACATCCTATTCTCATACCTATAAAATATACACAAAAAATTTCATAAAGATCGGTCCAGCCGTCTCGGAGGAGTTCGACCACTAACACCGTGACACGAGATTTTTATATATTAGAATTAATAATGTATAACGTTACCAATCTAATAAAGTCCACGTTCTCCTCGTTCATTTGATCGGCTCATAACTCTGCAGGTAGCGGATGCACTCCATATAAAGGAGTCACGACGTGCTCCGGGATAAGGCGCATTGACATTCAAAATTTTCAAAGTTGGATCACATATCTGC